CCTTGTCCACCTGGTCCTCCTGGTTGGGTGGTCTGTAGCACACCCCCACTGTAAAGCTCCTGCCCTTCCTTTCACCCTGGTCCACAGGTACTCGGTTCTTTCGTCATCATTTTCCAGGTGTAGCTCCGTGCATTCTAGCCTTTGATGGACATAGAGGGCAACACCCCCTCCTCGTTTCCCCTGCCTGTCCTTCCTGAACAGTTTGTACCCCTCTAGTCCAACACACCAATCGCAGGAGTCGTTCCACCATGTCTCTGTGATTTGCAGTTGAGACCCAAATCCACTTGAAACTTCATATGTGGTGTCAATTTATATGTTTTTAAATTTTTTTTCTTTAATTTTTGGGTAATCTTAATTAGAGCAGCCTGTTCTCTTCACTGCAGGCTACAGTAAACATTCACATCAAGAAAAGCTCATGGTCATCAGAGACAGGGTCGTATTTATACATGTGCATAACAGGCTGTATTTATGTCCTGGTAATTCCGCTGCTGACTGCTTGATTGGGCGAATTCTGACAGTACTTCTTCAGACATTATGTTACATTGCATTTCTGTACATGAAAATAAAAACACACAATAAAGCAATGATTCTGATCTGTCGGTGTCGCCATTAAGATTTTCAGGCTGTTGACAGGAGGTGCAGTAGCCATCGTTTTCCTGGTTTAAAGCTTCTTAAAATTACTCTCTGTTCAGCAAAGCCTCAAACCATCCCATGCCAGAGGAGGAAGGGTGCTTCCAAGACATGCCCTTGGTTTCCAAACCAGTTGTCTTGGATTTAAAGGCACCAGGATGCCAAGCCGGGGCGGAGATCTCTGGAAAGTGGGCAAGAGCCACAAGCGCGCTGCTGTCGCTTTACAGAGGAAAGCTTAAGATCAGGAGGCTGGGGTTCCTACTCTGTGGAGGTGAGTAGAAACCTCTCTGAATGGCAGGAATCGCTCCCTTGTCTCCCACACTGCCACTCTCCTACCCGTTTGAATGCAAAATACCTTCCTTAAAAAGATTTTTTTTTTTTATGGTAAATTTAGATGGATTATGGTTCCCTTTGCAGCCTGCTGTCGCATAGTCTTAAAGTATCAGCAACGGCAGATATTAAAAGGGAATGCTGCAAAAGCCAGACTCGTGACTCTCGAAGACTAGCTGTAACTCTTTTTAGCTTACTGCTATTAAAAGCTTGGAAAAGTTCCTCCAGCCCACGGCTCATATCCTTGGCGTATGCTCTTGGCGTTTGTGCCTCCTCCTCCTCTGGTGGTGGGAGAGCCGTCGTCACCAGCCTGCGACAGCATGCCGGCGTCTGCCTGCCTTGCTTCGTGCCCCCACCGAACTCTGAATCCTTCCTCACACTGAGAACGGGCAAAAAACGACAGAGGAACCAGCTGAGTAACCATCAGCTGTGAATAGTCTGTGTAACTGGAAAAATAAAAATAGTACAGTGATTTTTTCCCCCCCTTCAGAAGGCTGTAAAGTTACTTTTACTGCGATCAGTGATGAACTCCTTGAAAAAGGTAATTATACAGCCTGAAGTTTTGTTACGTGCCCTGTAGGGGAAAAAAACCCCACGCATGTCTCTACCATCTACTCGGTCAAAAATGCTCAGGGAACAGGAGTTGAAGCCTCTGTAAAACCCAACAATGTGAGGTAAAAATCTTGCTTTCATTTTTTTAACGACCTATAGCCTCCACGCAATCAGAGCGTGTAGAAGGTCTCTTAACACTGAAAATGTGTAAATTCATGCAGGGTGAGACAGCCGTGTATTTTATACTGTTGTGGAGTTTGGGTTTGGAACGCAAAGTACTGAACAGAAGCGTCACTGAGTTGGTAAACGAAGGGTTGTTTATGGATTTCCTTTCCCAGGAATTCGTATGTTCTGCTGCTGCTGTAAAAGGGGAAAAGAAAAAAAATGCCAGAAGTGTAATTTTTTTTGTTACTCTGGTTTATGCTGATGGCAGAATGAAATGAGATCTAATCAATTTCAGAGTAGAACTTCTTGCTACTTCAGATGGGAAAGATTTTATGCGCTTCTTACATTTCCTTTTATACAAGCATGAGGCAGTGGCTTGCTTCTGAGAATTTTACTTACTGATTTCAGTTATGCATGCTCTTCTCTTCCTCTGTCTTTCTTAAGAGTCTGGATTTGGTTTCTCAACTTTTAAGCTTCTCTCAGAATGGTATCACAATTGCATTAATTTAGATATTCTTCCTAACTTTAGAGTTTAACAAACAGATGTGTATTCCTCTCTCCCCAATACTTTTGTGTGGTACCTTTGATATTAAAAAAAATATATATACTTTTAAAAAAATCAGTAGATATTAAACCCCTCAGAGCTCTTTCAATGCTGCTCAAATGCACTTTCCCAAGGAGAACTGCATCCTTAATCCTGTAGCCCAGTTGAATGTCATCCTGCATATCTAGAATTTAGCCTTCCTTCTCTCACAGTTAATTTGCTTTCTACTATTTTAACTGAAGAACTGACAGTTAAATAACTTTTACATCCAGTGTTCTCAGGGGAGGGATCACTTTGAGTTTGGTCATGGTCTGCAGTGATAAATACTGATAACTCCTTTATGCAGTGAAGTCACTCAACCAATAGCAACGTTCCAAATAGATGTTCATGTGTGATCTGAATTTATAATTAGGCCCTCAAACCTTTCTGCTGTAATCATACAAATCAGTGCTTGGGTAGAGCAACATCTGCTTGTGCCGTACTGCCATGTGAGAGGGAGGGAGGGAGGGAGGGAGGGAGAAAAAGATGTGCAACAATAGAATCATTTAGGTGGGAAAAGACCTTTGAGACCATTGAGTCCAACCATTAACCCAACACTGCCAGGTCCACCTCCAAGCCGTATCCCTGAGCACCACATCTACACGGCTTCTAAATCCCTCTAAGGGTGGGAACCAGGGCTTGACAACCCTTTTGAAGAAGAAATTTTTCCTAATATCCAATCTGAACCTCCCCTGGTGCAACTTGAGGCCATTTCCTCTTGTCCCATTGCTTGTTCCTTGGGAGAAGAACCCGACCCCCCCTGGCTGCCCCCTCCTGCCAGGGAGCTGCAGAGAGCGAGAAGGTCTCCCCTCAGCCTCCTCTTCTCCAGTGGAACAGCCCCAGATCCCTTGGCCACTCCTCCCCACACTTGGTCTCCAGACCCTGCCCCAGCTCCGTTGCCCTGCTCTGGACACGCTCCAGCTCCTCAAGGTCCTTCTTGTCTAGAAGGACCTGAAAGTGAAAAAGTGAACACAGGATTTGAGGAGCTGAGTGTAGGGGGACAATCCCTGCCCTGCTCCTGCTGGTCGCACCATTCCTGATACTTTCCTCCCTTTCTCTGTTCCTGGGTTAGACTGTGAAGGTTGTCCTGGCTTTTTTGTTTGTTTGTTTTGTTTGGTTGTTTTGTTGTGTTTTTTTTCCTAGACACTGCGCTCTTTTAGAAACACATTCATCAGTTTTGTTTCACCTTTTTGCTGTTCCTCATTGTACCAAGAACCACAGCGCCGGGGTTACATGGTGGGGAAGCAGATACACAAGCTGATGCTTCACCCACAACCTAGAACATGGGCAAAAAAATGGGAAGAGTGCCTGGAGAAAGACTGTTTGAGAGTCTGCCCACAACTTCGAGTGTCTTGCGCTGATGTACTGTGACCCTGCAGTGAAGGCAGAGCCCCCTGAAACAGAGAGAAGACACGGTGAGACCAAAACACGGATTTAAAGTCACTCAGAAACTAAAAATCCAAGCCACAAAAAACTCCGGGTGGCTTTGGTGGCTGCTCTTTGTTGTTTTTGCAAGATGTAGGTAATTTCTAGGACATTTTACTCTCTGGAGGAAGTTAAATGTACCCAACTTTCTGCCTGCGGGGGCAACGTGATTAACTGCTGAAGTGGCATCCCCTGCCAACCGCATCGATTCGGTGTCAGCCGTCACACTGTGCAGGTTCTGGCTTCTCGGAGAAGCCACCTGCGATCCACAGCTTTGGGAAACTTGCCTTTCTCTAGAGCGAAGAAGCAGAAGGGATGAAGGTTGGACTAGATGATCTTCAGAGGTCCCTTCCAACCCCTAACATTCTGTGATTCTGTGATTCTGTGAGATAGGGATTATTCGAGGAGGATTATCTGAGCCCTTTGGAATTTTCTTCTCTGGGCAATAGATGGTCTTGGGCTTTTGGGGGAAAACACATACCGTAGAAATTCAGCTTTCTATTGTAATTGCATTGTTACCTTCTTTTTGCCTCCCTGCTAAAGAAATACTAACTTCTCTTGGGAAATTATACTGATAGGTATAAAATTGCTGAGATTTTATCCTTATATCCAGGTTATGGGTTTTGTTTTGCTTCATAGAAGAAGAAAAACATCATTTTTGAGAGTTTCAGTGCAAACCATCACTAACTTTTAGTCAGTCAGAGAAAATGAGAAACAGGCCTTATTAATAATGCATCTACTAATATTTACCTTGCGTTTTGTCACCTGTACTCAATTTATTAGATGCTTTTAATGATCCAGTAACTTACTATCATAGTCCAAATCATGCATGAGTAGAAATTCTGATACCAGTTTTCATATTGCTATTACAACACATGCCTTTTGTGCACCTGGGGGAATTTACTAGACCTATTTTCAATAGTTAGACCAACCTAAAACTAATATAGCTTAAGGCCGGACTGGAATAACCATGATTAATAACTGCGTACTTGTTTTGTTAAAGTTCTTTAAATACTCTGAGTACTTTTGTATGAAGTCCACTTGTAAAATTTTAAGTCAATCCTTAAAGTTTAACTTTTCTTCTGCAGTGATATGTTGTAAAATTTATGTGAAAACGGCTTTTTGGATTTAAAGCGGTTATTTTTGTGGCTGCACAATATTCTAACTATCAACATCCTGGAGGGGCAAGGGAAAACAATCAAATCTGTCTAAAAGATGCTTCTTCCTTTAACTCAATGCTGCTTCTCACTGGAGAGAACACCTGCAGGCATGGGCAAGGTTTGCTCGTCATGTTCAGTCTCCTGGGAGGTCACTTTCACTGCATCTTTTTCATGTCTTTCTGAATTTTCTTTTTTTCAAGTTTCAGCTTTGTGTTCTGTATTTGTTTGAGCAGCTCCAGAGACTCGTGGATGGATTGAAATCCTGGTAGACAAAATAGGAACAATGAATTAAATAGTGGTTACCTTCAGGAAATTAAAATATTTTTCTTTTCATTTGCAAAGGTTTATAATACAGGATACATTAAATCAAATCTATTTCATCATTTTATTGGACACCATGGACAAGAGTTGCAAGCTCCTTGCTGTAGGAATCACATCTTCCAATACTTTGGACAATACCAAGCATGATTACACATAGCTGTAAACTCCAATTTTTGGACCACTGTATGGTCAAATATTGTCAATAAAGTCTGGGAAAGCAGAACTGTAAGCTGCTGTTACCTAGCCATTTCCAGATTGGCATGACTTTTAAGTTGCAGGTGGTAGCTCTTTACATTGGTTCAGCGTGTGACAGAGGTGTTAACTTACTAGCAAGCGAGCAGGCTAAGAGTGGATTAAAATCAATTCCTCTTTTTTTTTTTTCTTGTTTTCTTCCTTATTGTAACATGGCTGCTGATGACATGCTTTTCTTTTTGGAGCATTTGTTTAATATGAGTTAATTTTGTCACCACTACAGCATAGACAGTGTTAAACCAAATTGCTGCATAGCGCTTAGAAATTTATAAATTCCAGACACGTCTCTGATTTCCAAGATGCCAATCTGTGCTGAAGCTAAAAACAGCTGCTGAGACCATCTAGAGGCGGCCTCTGTGCCCTTTGTGCTGCTCCACATCTGTTCAGTGGCCCCTTTTTTCAACCTTTTTTGAGGTCAGCCCCTGCTGGAGGACTGCTGTGGGAATGAGCAGTCCTTGGACCTTGAGTCTGAGCACAAATATGGCCAAAGTTTGGTATAAATGGACATATTCTCTCCTTGATTTCTGCTGGCAGGAATTTGAAGTTAAGAATTCTCTCCTTTCAACATCAGAACCTTTTATTCTGAAATTTCTTAGCTGCAGCTTTCTTTGAGACGCTGTCTTGTGCTCCCTTAGATGGTTTTGTAGACAGCCAAGCCTTCCTGTGTCAAGCTGCACAAAGACCTTAGCTAATTTAGAGCTTGTTTTCCTGTGGCCTTGGCACAGGGCTCGTGGGTATGTGGTAGATGATGAAGGAATTGGAGCTGCGACCCTCAATCGCAGGCAGCTTGGAAGATGAGAACTAGATGCTTGAGTTTCAGATGAGAACATGTAAGATGTGAAGCCCTTGTGGAATGATTTTCAGCTGTCTGTTCCCATGGAGAGAGGGCCAAGTGACTTTTTTCCTGGGGTTGTTTTTGATAACCTGAAGTGTCCACTGTGTTTCCATGATCAGACACGAGTGGAAGGCATTGCAATAGATAAGGTTTGAGTGACACAGGGAAAAAATCTCCTGTGAAAGTCACGTGCTTGGTGCCAGGTGAAAACCTTTCTAGTTGTTGCTGAAATTTGAACGGCCCAAATCATCTCAGATTGATGAATTAGTTCACTCTGTGTGAGATACGTTACTGTGACTGTCCACATAAGAAGTAGCAGCCACATACCCAGCAATGTTATCTGCTTCCTTCTTCATGGGCACGATGTGAGGTCTGTGTTGGGGGGCTGTAACTCACCCCAATGCCTCTTCCTCCAGCTGCTGTTTGTTGAGAGTGAGGAGTAAAGGGTGGGAATGATGCAAAACTCCAAACACAACCTCAGCAGCAGAATCTATGCAAAAGGCATTGACTTGTGCCTCCCAGCGAGAGTCAGGGACCTTGCTAACGGAATAAATAGGGGCTCTAAAATATCTGGAAAACAGGTTGTGAAATTGCCTTTTCAATGGTCTTACTTAGGAAGAGAAAGTAGCATGTGGGCAAATGTCACGCTATTTGCAAAGACAAGCAGGCTAACCCATACAACTCCATATCTGGTGTTTGGGACAGTCAAGTAGTCATTTTACGGTCTTTTTGTCTTTACTGGAAAATATTTTCTGGTGCAGCAAGTTACTACAGAAATTTATTTTTAAAACAAATTTCATGGAAGCCCAACCTCACCTGATCTGTATTCACTTTTGATTTCATCAATCTCTCTCCAGACCTGCCTTTCAAATCTGGAAATTCTCGCGTGAAGGTTTTTTTCATCACTTTTCATCTTGTTCAACTGCTTTTCGTATTTCTGTGGCTTGTCCATTCGTTCTAGCTTTAGTGACAGAAATAGGAGCTTTTCTTCTACTCTTTTTTCGGCTCCTTCCTTTAAATACATAACAGGAGTTTATAGTCAAACACTTTATGTATGCCCACATTAACCTGCCTCCTGCCAACCATGCGATCAATTGCTCTTACTTCCTAACTCCATGTGTGACAAATGCAGATGTGTTCTGGTACCTTAGGTGATGTGTCAGTCCTCTCTTCCCCAAACAAACAAAAAAAAAATGGGAAATTGGGGCTGGGCCAGGACGAGGATGCTTTCCCCATTATCATCTTATGTATTTATTAATTTAAATCCAGTGATTTATTGTCACATTTTGCCATATGAGACTGGGAACTCAAAAAACCTTTTTCAGGTGGCTTTCACACACCCACTTAAGCCGAAGTTTTCTGACCTAAAGGAGTGCAACACGCTGGTGCAAACCCAGGACAGCTGCTGGCATGATCAAGGAGGGTGAGCCCTGTAAGAACTGCGGAGCTGGGTGATCATGCTGTTTTCTCCCTCTTCTAGGCTCCACACAATTTTCGGAGGCAATTCTCACTCCTCAGAGATGTGCTCAAAGCAGAGCTGCACAGCTGCCCACCCCTTCCTTGGTCTGCAAGCTGCACCGAGTCCTCTGGTGCATTCCAAGTGTGGTCAATGTGGTCAGAACACTTTGAACTTCTTCTGCCCTTGCAGCTCGAGTGAGTCCTACAGCCCCAAGGCACTGGCTCTGCCTCCCAAGGAAGGTGTTTGCCAACCTGGAAGAGCTGCCTGAACCTCAACGGTTGTGGAACATGCTTTGAGTCTACAAATATTCCCGTGCAGTGCGGGTGGCTGATGGAGTGAGTCAGCTCCAGGAACAACCAGGCTGCTCCTCAGTCCTCTCAAAACACCTCCACCACCCCTTTGCCTGCCCCATTGCTGCAGCCTTGTCCACAGCATCACTGCCCGATGAACAGACATGAATGAACACAAGCCCGGTGAACAGGCATGAGCAGGACTGCTGCTGAAGGCAACTGCCCGGG